ACCTGCCACACTTCCCCCACCCCACTTAAGCTGAGGGAATTCCTGCCCAGAGAAGCTCCCAGCAATCACGGAGGAGGAATCCGCTGCAGCCGTGAGCAGAGGAGGATCCATGGTCCCCTTCCTTCCCTCCTCCGTAGTTGCTTTGAAGCAGGAAAGTGGGAGAGGAGCTGCTTACACGAGTGTAAGCTGCTCCCCTCCCACATTGCCGCTTCAAAGGGAGCCCGGGACGAGGGAATCTGCTGCAGCCTCGAGCAGCGAAGAGGATCCATGGGTCCCCTCCTTCCCTCCTCCGTGGTTGCTTTGAAGCAGGAAAGTGGGAGAGGAGCTGCTTACACGAGTGTAAATTGCCCCCCTCCCACTTTCCTGCTTCAAAGCAATTACGGAGGAGGAATCCGCTGCAGCCTCGAGCAGCGGAGGATCCATGGTCCTCTTCCTTCCCTCCTCCGTAGTTGCTTTAAAGGAGGAAAGTGGGAGAAGAGCTGCTTACACGAGTGTAAGCTGCTCCCCTCCCACTTTCCTGCTTCAAAGCAATCACGGAGGGGGAATCTGCTGAAGCCTCCAGCAGCGGAGGATCCATGGTCCTCTTCCTTCCCTCCTCCGTAGTTGCTTTGAAGGAGGAAAGTGGGAGAGGAGCTGCTTACACGAGTGTAAGCTGCCCCCCTCCCACTTTCCTGCTTCAAAGCAATCACGGAGGGGGGAATCTGCTGAAGCCTCCAGCAGCGGAGGATCCATGGTCCTCTTCCTTCCCTCCTCCGTAGTTGCTTTGAAGGAGGAAAGTGGGAGAGGAGCTGCTTACACGAGTGTAAGCTGCTCCCCTCCCACATTGCCGCTTCAAAGGGAGCCCGGGAGGAGGGAATCTGCTGCAGCTTCCCCCACCTCCCACAGAAGCTGAACGCTCTTTAAAGGGGCTGTGCGGCTTCTCCTGGCTTTTCTGGGAGGTGGGGGGATTCCCCCACCTCGTAGAAAAGCCCGCAGGAGCCGCACAGCCTTTAAAGAGGGCGCCGCTCTTGGGGGCTTTTCCCCCAGGAGGGAGAAGGGACTGCTGCAGCCAGTCAGTCCCTTCTCCCTCCTGGAGAAAAGCCCGCAAGAGCGCACGAAGCTTGTGTGCGGCTCTTGAGGGCTTTTCCCGCCTGCCTCCCCCCTGCATTCACTCCATAGGACGCACACACATTTTCCCTTGCTTTTTAGGAGGGAAAAAGTGCGTCCTATGGTGCGAAAAATACGGTACTTACTTACTTACTTACTTATTTTCTTATTAAGAAGAGAGCTTGGGATGTTTGGTTTTATAGGCTAACAGAGCTGGAAGAGACACAACAGCTGAATAAGGATTACCATTTGCCAAGTGGACAGTTGCTGTTTGGGGAATGCTCTTCTGCATTTACTCAGAGTCACATGTAATGTGCATGGAATCACTGAGTTAGCCAGTTGTTGTTACCAATTCTGCCAAGCAACGAGGATCATTTTTTGTACTTCCCTCCCCGCTCCCCAATTTCTAACTGGATGTGGATGTGTCTTAAGAGTATTAAAATGGGCACCTTACCAAGTGATGCAAATTACACTGTGGTAAATGTCAGTTGGGACAGTGGTCATCTATATTCACCCAATAGGTCAGCAAATCCAGCACCCATTTACTGAAGAACAACAGCTTGCTGTATCTACTGAAAGCAAATTAGAAGCAACGGCGGTGGAAGGAGGACTTTGAGTGAATGTTAGGGAAAGAAAACACTCTCCTAATTACATCAAGATGACTAGACATGATCATGGAATTTTCCCTCCTGGTAGCTTTCAGGAAAATTTTGAGCAGGCATTGTTTGAAGGGTGTGTTTGAAGGGTGCTTTAGGCACAGAGTACAATGTATTAAAGTACTGCTTAAGTAGTGCCAACTCCAAAATGTTCTAGGAAACCACCAAGAGGAGAAATTCCATGACCATTGTCTAGCTATCTTGATGCAATTAGGAGAGTGTTTTCTTTCCCTAATGTTCACTCTCAGTTCAACTTCCAGCTCCATTACCTCGAGTTTGCCTTGAGTAGATGCATTAAAGCCATTGTTTTTCAATGGGTGGATTCTGATTCCATAACTGGACTGCACCACAACATTAGTTAGGTCACATCAAAGGTACCACCACTCTTTTCTTTGGTATAAGAGAGAGAAGAAGAAAAGGAAAGAGAAACACAGAACAGAGGAAGAAGGGTAGGAAAAGACATTAGAAAATGGACAAAGAGCCACTTAGGATATAATTTCTTATGCACCTAGAGGCTGTCCTAGGGACCATAAGATAGATCCAATGTACCCCTTTGACACTGGAGAGAGAGAGAGAGAGAGAGAGAGAGAGAGAGAGAGAGAGAGAAGGAGCTCTGCTGTCAAAGAGGGAGACCTGACTAAGTTCCAAAAAGGGGGCGCTCCAGGAAGCAGATGGGATCCAATGGACCCTGAGCCCTTCCAGTTCTCTGTTTATGCACACTTCTTAGCATGTTTAATTCCCCATTCTCCTTTCCTTTCCATTGTTTCTGGTGGGTAAAAAATGTTGGTGAGGAGCTTAACATCTTTCCGCAGGGCCTGCAAGACAGAGCTGTTCCACCAGGCCTTTGGCCAGGGCACAGCCTGACTCCCTCCCTCGGCAATCTTCGTGGAGCTCTGGCCCAATGGTTGCCAGTGGCTTGAATTAATTAATTTTATAATGAATGATTTTAGAGTGTTGTTTATGCTGTACCTTTGTACTGTTTTATTGTTGTTAGCCGCCCTGAGCCTGGCTTCGGCTGGGGAGGGCGGGATATAAATAAAATTTATTATTATTATTATTATTATTATTATTATTAAACATTTTGTTGGTAGACTGATGGCAAAATGCAGAGCATTTCAAGTCAACCTTGCTAGCAGAGCTATGCACTGTGTCAGATGAAGCAGTTAAACTGCCATAGCCACCCTTATCCCATGTGGCCCAGCTTAGGATTCCAGCCTAATTTAGTAACAAATAAATAAATTTAAAAGTGAGCTCCCAGACCTGTTTTGTTCTTGACCTTCGCTACAGTATTTAAAAATTGCCCAACCCTGATATGGTGGCCATTGTAAGCATGAAAAGAAAATTGGCTAGGCATAGCAATTGTGATTAATATTGAATTGTTTTGTAGATGGGTGAAAAAGAAAATTAGGATACATTCAATGAATAGGAAAATTAGTCAAAATCTTAATAAAGACACTGAAATACTGGTTATATGTAATCACATGATATTATGAAGAGGGCTGATTTGAAGAGACAAATGATTTTGATTGGTTCAAGATTATGACACTGGGTTGCATCTATTAAGATTGCTGTGATCTTTTGACTGGTGAATAAAAACCATGTGTGTAATATGGAAGTGTATTTAAAACATCGCTTTGGATATGGTTTTTTACAGCCTCCTTATTTTTGAGGCTGTCCCTATGCTCATTTGGAGAATGCACCATTTTCTTTTGGGTTTCTGGGAGGTATACCTCCAGTCTAGGAACCTCTTTTTTAAATTCTCCAACAGTGCTATGCTGCTGTTTTTTCCATAATAACAATATACAAATGGGGGGGGCATTGCACCATTTAGGGCTGGGGAGCATGTGCACTGCATGCAAAAGGTCTGGCATCTCCAGCCCAAAACAATCTCAAAAATATGCATTGTGAATAAATGAAAGAGTAGCCCAACGCGGGTGGCGCTGTGGTCTAAACCACAGAGCCTAGGACTTGCCGATTGGAAGGTCGGCGGTTCGAATCCCCACGTCGGGGTGAGCTCCCGTTGCTCGGTCCCTGCTCCTGCCAACCCAGCAGTTCAAAAGCATGTCATAGTGCAAGTAGATAAATGGGTACCGCTCCGGCGGGAAGGTAAACGGCGTTTCCGTGTACTGCTCCAGTTTCGCCAGAAGCAGCTTATTCATGCTGGCCACATGACCCGGAAAAACTGTCTGCGGACAAACGTCTGCTCCTTCGGCCAGTAAAGCGAGATGAGCGCCCCAACCCCAGAGTTGTTTGCAACTGGACTTAACTGTCAGGGGTCCTTTACCTTTACCTTTTAGCCCAACTGGAATGTAATGGGAGTTCAGAAATACGAATAAATTCTCAGGATGACACCCAAAAGAGGTCCATAGGTACATGCAAGCACATCCTTATGTTCCCATATGACCTTCCCCAAACACAGCTCCGCCCCCCCCCATTGGATGCCTCTCCTCGATTGCCTTCAGCCTTTTTGAATTTTGTGTGGCCTGGGCTGTTTTAGGAAAAGAATCCTCAGAAACACCTCTGCATGTGGCCACTTGGATCCCAAATAAGGGTTGAGGTTCTGCAATACAGGTAGGGGTCACTAGAGCATACAACTGACAGATGGCATAATGTGCAACTGATAGAAACGGTACATGAAAGGGTACCCCAGCACATCATATCTCATTGGCAATGCAAATAGATAGTGGGCAGAACCAGGCCAAGTTCTAAAACACACAACACCAAGGATGAAACAAAATTGTATTCACATTTGACTGATGTTACTATGTAAGTTTAAGGTTAGTATTAATAATTATAGCACAAGACATGGGGAAAAGAAGCCTTGTTGTTTCCAGTGGAATGGAGAGCGAGTTTCCAAAGCTAAGAAATCTATTCCCACGTTAGCTGCTTTGCCTCTGAAGTGAAGGTCTTGACCACTAGAGGGCAGCATTAATTTGTCAAACGAAGAGGCCAAAGCCGGCAAGCGAAGTATTCTTTGAGGACAATTAAAGCAATCCTGTTTACTTCCTTCGCAGTCCACTTTATGTTTTGTAAGGATCAGTGGTTTGAATTTATAAGTGCAATGCTTTCAGCTTTCTGCATTGAAACTTGACTTCTGTGAGGCTGAAAAAAAATCCCACTTACCATCAATACGCGGGCAAAGCTGACAGTAACAAAAATACGACCATATATTGTGTAGTCCAAGGAGAAAGATCAAAGGGGGTGTGTGTGGGTGTGTGGGTGTGTGGGTGTGTGTATTTTAACAGTGGCCACCAAATTGTAGCTGAATAAAATGCAGAGGGCAACATTTGGGTCAGCAATTACTACTGAATTTCACCGAAAGCTGTATTTTGAAGCAAAATTTGAAGCTCACGATTAAAAGAAACACCTGGGAATTTTGAGGGAAGCAAAGTAAGTATTTTGATAAGACTTAACACCATTTCTCAGGTAGGTTCTGCCCTTGCCCACCTGACATTTGTATAAAAGGGAGATAGCTGCCATAGAAATGCAAGCAACTGCTTTGATGTTCATGTTATTTCCGTCATGTGTGATAGGACATAGTATGTTATTGCGGGGGAATTCCAGAAGATCAACCCTGTTAGTCTGTTGTAACAAAAACAATGAAGTGTCTTGTGGCACATTAAAAGCTAACCAAGTTTCAGAGGCAAAAGCACACTTTATCAAGCAACATCTTTTTAAAAAAAAAATTTGGAGGGGGGACGTCTTGTCTTTGAAAGCTCATGCCAAGATTAATCAGTTAGTCTTTAAGGTAAGATGCCACAAGACACTTAGATAAAATGTAAACCAATTTGTGTGCTTCTCCTTGTTTGTGTCATTTTTGCATGTGAACATTATGAAACCTGTTCTATTTCTGCATTTAGAAAAATATATGCACAAAATACTTATCCGAAAATGTATCTATTTACACTGCATTCTTTACACTGATTGCCCTTTAAAACTTAAAAAAACAGCAACAATAAGCAATAGCTACTCCAATTTAGGTCATCCGATAAATGACTGTAAAATCTTATGTTGATTAGAAAGTAAGCCCACTGTATTCAATAGGATCTACTCCCTAGTCAGTGTTTAAGATTGCAACACAATTTTAATTCTAAATACAGTGGTGACTCGGGTTAAGTTCCGGAGGTCCATTCTTAACCTGAAACTGTTCTTAACCTGAAGCACCACTTTAGCTAATGGGGCCTCCTGCTGCCGCTGCGCCGCCGCTGCACAATTTCTGTTCTTATCCTGAAGCAAAGTTCTTAACCTGAGGTACTATTTCTGGGTTAGCAGAGTCTGTAACCTGAAGCGTATGTAACTTGAAGTGTATGTAACCTGAGGTACCACTGTACTGGGTTCTGAATTGGTTGTGAACTCTCAGGTAAGCGTTTTTTGGAATGTGGTGAGCAGCTCACTGAAAAATTAATTCACTGTGTACCTGAAGTGGGGAAAGCAACACCTATAGCCCCTTCTGTGGCATTAATCACATGAAGGGGACCTATGCATTGAAAGGGGAAAGTGGGGTGGGGGGCACATGCTGGCCCATCCCAAATGCCACATGCTTCTCGCCCCTGATGAATTCTGAGCGGGGAAGCTTGTGCATGCAGTTGAAATCCCACATAATAGGTGTGAATGTCTGAGGAGGGGAAGTTATTCATGTAGAAAGCTGGCACAGAGGCAGTAGGACCTGGCAAAGCTGTGTGATGTTGCCCGATGAGCAAGAGCTTTCAGTGGACCCTCTTCACACAATTAGCAAGTGAAAGTGGGGTTACATTAAGGGTAATTGGGAAGGGGATGAACATAACATGTCCAGTGTTCTGAATTTCATTGAACCCGAATTTTATTGCTGCTGTATCTTTATACTTATGACAAATGCTGTTGTTCTGTTCTGCTTATTGAAAAGTTATGTGGAACTAGATTTGCATAAGTCTAAGGTGAAATTAGGGGTGAAAGAGAATTTTATTTGGCCCCCATTTCTAAGTGAAGTGACTACTAACACACTTTATTACACAGTGTGTAATTATTCTTTGGATTTCACACCTCTCTGTATTTTACAATACAGCTCGGAACTAAAGAAAAATGTAAAAAAAATACATACTTTAGGGTAAAAGACATCTTAAAATGTACACAGAGATAAAATACAGTTAAATGTTTGTTTATTCAATCAATCAATCAATCAATCAATCAATCGGATAAATGTAAAAATGTCATGAAACAGACTTATCAAGATGTGCGAAATTAACACAATCTGGAAATAGACATATTTGTCCTTCCCTAGCTGAGATAGCAGCACTTGTGTAGTTTTCTTACAAACCATCACAGCTACTTCAGACTTTCCTTGTTTGTGGCATCTACCTAGGGTTGCCATATTTCAAAAAGTAAAAAAACCAGGACAATAAGCCCAATCCGACCCACCACCTTCTGGTGGGCAGAGAGAGGAAAGGCTGCTGTCCTGTATTTAGTGGGTGTGGGTAGCCAGGGACTTTGTCAGGGGGCTGGTGGTTGACGGGGCCCCATGGCTCAGGTCTTTTGTACTAGGCCCTGATCTCCTGTCCAAACTCCCCTCTTTAAAATTACCCTCAAAGCTTGCTTACAGAGCCAGTGGGCATGATGCCAGTGAGACCCCCCGCCCCACTTGATGTGAATAACTCAATCTATGTACACTACACTGGGTCCAGAATATTCTGTGGTATCCCATAAGCCCTGACAGGAAGAAGCACAAGTTTTAGGTGATTTTGAAAGTCCGTAGATATAAATCAGAACACCAAGATTTGTTTCATGAGCCTGTGACCACAGTCTTTGCTGTTAACCTGACGGCTGGTGGTTCAAACCTACCCAGGGACAGTTGTGGGCAGGATTCCTGTATTCCAAGGGGTTGGGCTAGATGAACCTTGGTATCCCTTCCAACTCCACAATTCTCTGATACTATGACCACCACCAGCTACCCCATCCTTCCTTACAAGAGAAGACCATGAACATCAACACACCAATATAATTATTACATGCAGGTTACCTTAAGCCAAAGCAATCCACTTGCTAACTGATCATTTTTATGGAGTGTTCATATGTTAGGGTCCCTGTCCACTATAATTAGAAAAGTTAGAAAGCTTTGCCCATTTTATTTAATTGTCAGAGGGTTGTTTTTTCCTCCTAAGAAATTAAATCCCAATGGAAAATAAAATATTCCACACAGACCACAGATAGTGGTGCCTTTGCCACTTTGTATTAATCAATGTGTCCTCCATCAATAATAGCACCACATTAGTGACCTGGGGCAGGATCTCAAGACCCATAAGACTAGTTTCATGAGCCAAACAGGCTCCAGGCATGTTCTTTTCAAACAGAAGCCTGCCATCCTGCATGATAAATTTCTTCTGAAACTGAAAGGCATTTCAAAAAAAGGCGTTTGTGATACGGCATGGGTCTGTTTGTGTGCACCTGCTGTGTGTGCTAAAACAACCACAAAGCAGCCCATTAGATTAGCACAATTGCATGAGACTAGTAACTTTGGATCCTAGACCTATATTTCAACCCTATTTTTAATATTTAAAATGATGTAAATAGACGCTGAACAACATACTACATTCACACTAAACCTCTTGACATCTTAATGGTTTGGCCTTCCTAGTGCAACAGATGACTAGGATGTCCATATTTTGCCAGGTTAAAAAAGCATGTGTGGGGTGTGTGTGTTTTTTTCTACTGACACTTTCCCCTTCTAACAATCAAAGTGTGTTTCAAACAAGATGCTGGAACTGAGCTATGAAATGTACCACAAGAAAGCACACACCCTATGGCATGTTCTTCCAAGGCCTCATTGGCGCATGGCTATGTCTGCAAAATACTCAATATGCATGGTGTTCTAGCCAGGCATATGCTGTGTGTGAGAGAGACTCATGACTTGGAGTTGCCACCAATACAAATTTGGCACAGTGGCAGCTGCTCATGGATTCATGTGCTAATTGGTAAGAGTAATTGCTACCTTGATTGTGTTCCTACAAAAAAAACTTAATTAAAACAAATGCCTGCGTAGCGAAGACAGTGCACATATACATGCATCTCCAACGGCAAACAAACAAATTACTCAGTTTGTCCAACAGCAACTGCTTTAAGAAGTTTATATTTACAGAAGTAAGCTTATGGGACACTGCTGCCATAAGTCCACCAACTTGAAGCCTGCCTGGACTGGACTGGACACTTTCTCAAGTGCATGTGCCAACATGGTATCACCAAAATAGGCTGACCTCACCATGCTCAGTCAGGAGTTACTGTAGGCAGAATTCTAACTGTAGTCAGAATAAAACATTTTTGTCAGATTTTCCTAATCTAAATTAAAGGGGGCTTCTCCCCTAACATTACTGGTAAAGAAATGGTTGGGGATAATAATGTAAGAACCTTAATACATGTGCCACACAGAAATCTGTATGAGAGAGGCCACAAGAAAAGTAAGATTCTGGAAGCAGCATAGTTGTGTAGGTCTTCTCATGTAAGATACTTGTGTGTTTGGTGAATCTCACAGTATATTTTTGGTTCACCTCCATGTACTCTTTTTTTCCCCCAGCACAAAAGTAAACCTGATATAAGGAAAACCCTACCATGAGGCATGCTGGGGCAGACGCCTCAAGGTAGCAGATTTTTGGCACCATTAAGGGTGACCGAGTGGGAGTCAGACAGAGAATACTACTGTATGCTTGAATGGGTTCACTCTTTAAAAGGTAAAGGTACCCCTGCCCGTACGGGCCAGTCTTGACAGACTCTAGGGTTGTGCGCCCATCTCACTTAAGAGGCCGGGGGCCAGCGCTGTCCGGAGACACTTCCGGGTCACGTGGCCAGCGTGACAAAGCTGCATCTGGCGAGCCAGCGCAGCACACGGAAACGCCGTTTACCTTCCCACCAGTAAGCGGTCCCTATTTATCTACTTGCACCCGAAGGTGCTTTCAAACTGCTAGGTTGGCAGGCGCTGGGACCGAGCAATGGGAGCGCACCCCGCTGCGGGGATTCGAACCGCCGACCTTTCGATCGGCAAGCCCTAGGCGCTGAGGCTTTTACCCACAGCGCCACCCGCATCCCCGGTTCACTCTTTAGTCCCAACTAAATTTGCACTGGTGGATTGTGCCCCTGCTATTAAGTGGAGGTGGGAGATGACATTTGGATTGTTCACACCACAATATTTCGGCCAGTTCATGACATGAGAAATAGCCCCTAACACATCACACTCTCTCACACATATATATATCCTTTCTACCATGAGAGGGTTAAAGAGTACTCTGATAGCTGGGAAACGGCTGCTGTTGATACCAGTGAGGTCTTCTCTTTAACTAGATCCTTCAGGGAAAAAAAAAAACAAATTAATCAAGAGCTAGCTGAAGTGGGTTTAATGATTGCATTCTGCATACAATCAGCTTTTCCCTTTTCAAGGGCCATCAATATGTCAAGGGAAGACATATCTGAAGGATATAGCTCTTAACATCAAGGTTATCTATTCTCCGCAAGGCTCCCACTCCTTACCGGGGCTGATACTTTACGCTGCCTGTGTCTAACATTTTCATCAACTCGGCAATCAATCAAGGTAATAATGTTGTGCAAAAAATCAATTAACAACGCAATTAAACTTTCCTTATTATCTCAAAGGGCTGAAATAATACCTGAAGGGGAGATAGACTCACTGAATGCAGACATCCATAACCCAATGTGAAAGTGAATTATGAGGTTGGACAGATGTAGGCATGTACCGGCGCGGTTATTTTCAATGGGGTATAGCTCATCCAGGCAGCCTATCAGTCACTGCAAATCCTATATCCTAAAATTCCAAATTACTTTTAAGAAATATATGATGTGCAATACCCAATTCATATTCCCTTTTAAAGATAACACACACATCTACAGCAGCAGTGCGTGCATGCACACACACACACACACACACACACACATACACACAGCCTACCCAACCCCCAGAAACCTGAACAAGAATATTATTCAAAGACAAAATGATATTTCAGAGAGAACATAAAATATAAAAGCTATAATAACATTTACATCTGTATACCACCCATGTCAGTAAATGCAGGCCATCAATTATACATAATCTGGAGCATATATAAAGGAGCTAAAAACGATGTGGTACAGCGTTTTAAAACCTAGAGGCTTAAATTCGCAAACACCTACATCTGTGGTGCCATCAAACACCATGAAGGAATAGCCCCAGTTTAGACATAATACGGCAGCATCAGTTACGATTCAAGTATTACTCATTTAAAATAAGACAGAGCGACTGTATTATTTAGCAATTACACTCAGCTCTCGCTGAAATACCGTTCCCCAGAGGCGGGATTTTAAAAGTGCATCAAAATAAGAACTATTAACCCATTGCAGAGGGGAAGATAATTCGAGATCTCATAGAATTAAGACTGAATTTTTTTTGATGCATGTTGGATATAGCAGGGGAAAAGGGAGCCAGCATTCAAACGCACCTAATTGTAAACTGGCATGTGAACGCTCCTTCAAAACTCAAAGGAGACGTTAAAAATGAAAGGGTGTAATACAAACAGAATTAGGCGGCTTTGTCTGAAAGTGGCCCTTGTTTCCCTGTATTCTACAGATGCTCATAGCTACACTGACACTTCTTGATTAGGAATAAAAATTAACAAAGCAACCTAGAAAACTATCTGAAGATGAATAAATCCATCTTTCCGATAATCATCTGGGGTACCAAATACTGACAAACAAGACCAAACAATAAAACCACCACACATGCCCTCTGACATTGCCCTCTTGGTTCTCTTTATTAAGCATCTCTTGATGTCTTCCATAACAGAAGAGCACTACAAAGCAATTCTCCCAGCTGCGGTTCCTTAAGTACATAGCAACTGCATTTTCAAAATGGTCTGTTTTTACAATTAGCGCATGTAGGGCAAAGATACTTATTTGCACCAAAAACCCCTTCCTCACCCCCCCCTCCACTCATCCTTGGTTTGCAATTCTTCCTGGTTTTGTCCTCTGTTACCACCACGGGTTGTTGACGCTGCCAGGAAGCATATTACAATTGCAGGATTAGTCCAAGACAATCCTTGCCATTTTCCACCATTTCTGAAGCACCATACATGCCCGCCTCCCACAACAACTTGGATTTTTGAATCACCAGCATTACAGGACAATTAGGGAATTCCTATATTAGTCTTAAATGAACATAATTAATATGTTTTTGTCTGCAATGACTTCATTGTGCGCCTATCAACTGGAACCATTCCTGCTGTGTACTTGATTCCACAGACGATGGCGGGGGGCATGTAGGATTTTAAATGATGTGCTGGTGTGTCTGCTCTTTATATGCTGTGGTTTATGTGTTATTCATGGGTTACATTTCGAAGCATGGACGAAACACAGATGTAAATGTTATTAAAGCTTTATGCGACTTAGGTCTTTTGTGAGATATGTCTTTGTTTCCAAATAATTCTTTTAACTATCACAAATAACCAGCAGTACATGACAATGTCTTGAGAGGGGGGCTTTTTTATTGCTTTACTAAGCCTTTGTGATGAAAAGTGACTCCCCCCCTTCTAATGCTCTCTCTTTGTCAAAATAAAATGCAGTATGATTTGGCAGACAACAGAGTTATGTCTGCAGGGTAATACTGAAGAAGACCCCATTTTTTAAAACATGCTTGTTATACAGTATCAGAACCAAAAGTTACTTGATTTCTGACTTAGCTGTCAAAGATAGGGGTTCAAACACCAGAGGCCTAAGACTGGCATGCTTCTCAACTTGATTTCTCTCCATACTGTCATTAACATTTTTATTCCAGGAATTCGAGATGGACGTGGCAGTAGGACAATGCCCTGCCAGATCACAGCACATCACTTTGCCATTCTCTACGTCAGTGTGTATTCCGACAATTTTCAAATTAAACAACTTGTCCATTGGCTGCTCTGTCCAGATCTGAACTAAAGGCAGAGACTCTTAACCAAAGTCACAGAATCTTCAGTGTTGCTCTGCAAGAATGAACAAAGAAACAGAAGTACTGCCATGTGATAACATCACCAGTCTTGCACCAATAGGCCCACAAGACTTATTTCTGGACCATGAACTATGGCCCCTGCAGGGTAAGTTTGTACCACAGTGACACAGTCCCTGCTTGGATGCCAAAGCGGACTTGCCTGATCAGATCCAAGTGGATCACTATGGCCCAGACTAGATCAGTGATTCATTTCTTAATCCACAGTCTGGTGCATGCCACCACGAGGTTGTCTAAGGGTTGTGCAAAGCATATGTTGGCTCTCCCATGTCCCCCCCCCCATAAAATTCCCCACACAAGTGATGTGACTTCAAGTCCCATTGCTCCTAGGGGGAGCCCCACACGTTAACTGCTGAGGCAGGTGGCTGGCTGAATACACTGTTTCCAAAGCCTTATTGGGGGGGTGGGAGGTAGCAGCAATTTCATAAGTACTTTTAATATGCTTTCCCAGGCAGACTTAGGACTCATCCCACTTGTCCAGTACTTTCTAGGCACGACTCCAAGAGGTTTTCCTTTTGCGCCTCCGCTTTCCTCCAGGAAAGCCCGCCATTTACCGCTGATTTCTTAACAAACAAATCTTTGCAGAGGCGCAAAAGAAAAACCTTCTGGACCCAAAAAGGGAAACGTTGACAGCTATGGGTAAGCGCAAGTGTGAATGAACCTTCAGTCCTGCCCCCTTTGAAAACTGGGATGGGCCAGACTTCAACGGGTTTATATTGTAAAATTACTTTGAGATGTTTCATAGGAAACAATTCATAAATGGAATTAACTGATTAGTTGGTGCTGCAGCGAAAGGATGTGCTGCCTTCTTTTGTTAGTGCTTTTGGATGCAGGGGTCAAATTCACACTGGATGCTGGCCTCGAGTTACCACCTCTCAACCTGACAAATCATGAACACTCCAGCCATTCTCAGCAGCAGCCCTGTGCAAAATGAGAGTAAAGTACAGGGGGCCCAGTGTAACTGGAGAAAACTTTTTGCACCATTTTACTTTAATTGCCTTTAATTTTAAGCCTATAATATTTGGCACTTGAAACTTTATCAAATGATGCTACAGGAGACCAAAGTGTAGAGCAAACAAACTTTTCTCAACACAGTGCAACTCTTTATCGTTGGCTCACAGTGGCTGCCACCCTGGGTTTCAATTCTCCACAGGTCATCTCCACAACTACTCCCCCCCCCCATGAACCCACTTTCATTACATCTGCTATCATTACAGTGTCCCTTATTAGCTATTGCAGCAATCACATAATAAGGTGATCAAGCAAAGCAACTTATGGAAAACAATTCTTGCTTCAAATGGTGTTGCTCTTTGCTGACTTTTCTCAAAAAACAACAATGAACCAACACTTGTTTCTGATTAAATTAAAAGCACAACTTTGAAATGGTTATGACGCACAATTCGGCCTTAACTAAAAATATGGACGCTCTCCATCCACAATACATTTTCCTACTTATTACAGACAAAGCTCCCTCAAATATGAAGACCTTCTAAAAGTTAAGAACCAGTAGCAGCAGCAACCCTTAACATAGAGAAAAGAAGGGAATTGTAAGTGGTCAGTTTGAGCAAGTAAGCCCTTCGAAACAGCAGCAGGCCAGAGCAAGTCGTGTGATAAGATTTCCAGGTTCTTGGTCAAGGCTGTCTTCTCGTCAGCTCACCAGAGAGGACATTACAGATACTTGTTCTTACTGCAAACTGGCCTCGTATGCAACAACAGCAGCAAGAATACTTATCGCGAAGTATTGGAAGACACAAGATTTACCCACACAGGAAGAATGGCAGATGAAGTTGATGGACTACATGGAATTGGCGGAAATGACTGGCAGAATCCGAGACCAGGGAGAAGAATCGGTGGAAGAAGATTGGAAAAAGTTTAAAGACTACTTACAGAAATACTGTAAAATTAATGAATGTTAGGAAAATGTTGGAATGAAGTTATATGGCTTTAGTAGAAATGTTATAAGGAATTAGGTATAGATAGATTAATAGGGTATTAAAGGGAAAAATAAGGTTAGAATGTGTTAAGATAATTATAGGAAACAGAGGAAGATGGAGAGGAATTGCTGAAACAATTAATAGAAGTGGAAGACAAAAAGGGAGGTGTGAGGAGGTCGTGGAAACAAGTGAATGAAAGTTAAGATATTGAAATTGGATTGTGTTTTGAATGGTTTTTGTTTTGTTTTGTTAATTGTTTGTGTTAGTGTTGTGTAGTGTTTTTTGTACGGTATTGTATTGTTGTATTGTTTTTTCTTGGTTTTTTGTAGTGTTGTGTTTAAATTGTTGAAAATTAATAAATATTATACAAACTGGCCTCACTGCCTTTTGCCGTTGTTACTTGGGCCAGATCTGACTTTTTATAGTTGATTTCATGTCCTGCCAAATTAGAGCACAGCTGCATAGAAGTGGATGGCTACCACAATTTTTAGCTTTATTTCACCTTTAAAAGTATTTCCTCCCCCTCCCCCCCAGCCAGCTGTGTTATACAGTGGTACCTCGGGTTAAGTACTTAATTCATTCCAGAGGTCCGCTCTTAACCTGAAACTGTTCTTAACCTGAAGCATCACTTTAGCTAATGGGGCCTCTTGCTGCCACCGCGCCGCCGGAGCACAATTTCTGTTCTCATCCTGAAGCAAAGTTATTAACCTGAAGCACTATTTCTGGGTTAGCAGAGTTTGTAACCTGAAGCGTATGTAACCCGAGGTACCACTGTAAACTGATAAGCAAGGATGATCCCCCTCCTGCAAACTACACACACACACACACACACACACCAGAGAGAGAGAGAGAGAGAGAGAGAGAGAGAGAGAGAGGCATTTCTGTTTATAGCAAAGATGAATAGCATGATGGCTCTAAAATTTATGGACTCGAAGTGCAATTAATATCAGAGTGTTTGGAAAGCATATACACAGCTATTACTCTACTCCAAAGGAAAAAGCCTGTGGAAACGCAGGTTCCAAAAGTCATTTCCTTGTTTCTACTTGTCTCACCAAGTGGCCGGGTGGGGGTTTCAGGGTAGAAGGGGCTAATTATAAATCTTCCCAAACTGAAACTTGCAAAAGGACACTGGAAATAATATGCTCACAGGAAAAAGAATATCTGGCAGCGGTTGGTTCTTGTTTTTCCTTAATACCCATTAAAAGCCTCCCCCAGTAAACCGGTTTACAGCAATGCTAGAAATGGAGTCAACATTTTTATTTAATGAATGGTTGTGGAGCATTAAAAACAGCACGGTGTGCTTGCAAATGTGGCTCCTTATCCTTGGCTTTGTCTCTATTGGCATCCCTCCCCCTTTCATTTTCAATGACATGTCAGCCGTCTCTCACCAACCACAAAGGAAAGTTGAATGCAGGGCTTACAAAGTTAGGCTGACATTTGCTCTCTTCCAATAAAAAATATTTAGTCCATTAAACATAAATACCTGTCATTATGATACATGGACTGGGTACAAGCCTCCCGTTTCCCTCTGATGTTTATTACATCCAAACAACTGCAGTGCCTGCATGTTTTCAACTTTAGTGTATTGATTAAACTTTTAAATGGCTGCCATATAACCCAGGGACATCAGGAAGATTAATTTGCGTCAATGTTCATCTGTAATTCATTAGCCATTTATTCTTTACAACCACATGGGCTATCAAGAAAATGCAGGCCATTTTTCACTCTGCACAGGCTTGGGAACAGATCCTGAAATTGCTGCTGCATACCAATCAGTTCCCCAGGCCCGGCCTCTTAAACTGCTTGGCTTTTCAAAAGTTAAAAGTTGGGAATAGTGGCGGCAGGAGGGGAGGGGAGGGAAAGGGACATAAAGAACCAGAAAAATGGACATAATATATGTCCTCGGGGTACTCGAGACTTAACTGAGTTTGTCCACTGTCTTTTCATCCATGGATTATGGTTTCTTATTTCAGTCAGATTAAAATAACTGAAACTTGTTTCGGAGCAGGGGCCGTAAATAAAACGAGTCACACACATCCCCCGCCCGCCCGCTACTGCCCCCAGTAATTTTTTCCTAGACGTAGTTACTGGGGGAAAGCAGCCGAGAGTGGCAGAGAAGACTGGGGGAAAAAAACAAAAAACCCCACAACACCATGCTAGTGCCTTAAGAAAGTCATAGCTGCAAATGCAAGGATACACATTTTTAAACCAGCTCTTGCATTTACTCTGGATTCTGGTCCGGGCTTTATTTGGTTCAATACCCAGCTAAGTATCACTATGTTTCCTTAGGGGAGAGGTAAGACATCTGGCTCCTGGATATGCCCTGCTGACCCTCTGACATGATAGGAAGTGAATATTAACGCAGAAAAGGGAACAAATGCAGCTGCAAAGCAAACATTCCATGCATATAGTTCTTGCACAGAGCATGGAAAGATAAATGGCATGCAACCTGCATTTCCCCCCTGCTTCCTAAATACCCATTAATCAATTACTGTCACTGATCTTCCTGCACTTAACTCACCTGTTTATGGGTGCATTTCACTATTGAAGCCTCCAGGGGGCATACGTTGTTGCAACCTCTCACAACAAAGGGGTAACATGAGCCCATTTATGTAAATAGTAATTCAAAGTTTTTGTTGTTTTGTTGTTTTTATTTTGCAGCACAGTGTCCTGCCAGGCCTGCCACCCTCACTTAGTTTCTAGGGAAGCAGTTATCTGGCTTTTGATGTACCATATTGAGAATATATTTAACAAGTGAGACCTGCAACAACATGTTGCAGCGTTGAATGCTCCATCCAGCCATGCTTATTCCAATATAGTTCATTCAATCCCACTCCCCACCCCAGCACATGGCCACTGTAGATTGTTTATTGAGTGGTTTGGGGTCGTCTCCCCATACTTCTGGAAACCTTAAGATTCTTCTGAACATGCTTATTGCACGAAAAGCTAGTGCCCCTATTATCCTACCATTGTTAAATTTGCAAAGTAGCAGCATAGCAAAACCTTCAAATTCTAGTCCAGGAACTAATACAATTAAAAACACAATTAAAAAAAAAACAAGCTTTACTTTGGATTAAAATTGGGGAAAATTATGCTTTGAATGCATAATTTGTTTTAAAGTTACATCTTCTATTCATATTTCAACACAGAAAACAACAGAAGGCTGCATTAACAGAACACCAGTTTTCAAAACAAGATGCAAGGTGTTTTAAAACACATTTTGGTTTTATAAAAGCACAAAACAAAATAGGTAACAATGAACTAAGAAGAGAGACAGTGTTAATACTTTTTGTTATTTATACACACATGCGCACGCGTGCACACACACACACACACACACACATGCAGTTCCGGGTTTTATAAAAGCACAAAACAAAATAGGTAACAATGAACTAATACTGTCTGTTTTTTACACACACACAGAGAGAAAGTGTTCTGGGTCATCACGCATGACAGTGGAGCATGTATAAGGCAAGGCAAGCCTGCCCCATTTTCCTGCCACTTCCGGGTTTGCGGTGATGCAGATGCACACAGTCGTGCAGTCTTTGAACGCATGCAAAATGGGTCATTGCCTGGATAGAAAGATAGATAGATGATAGATAGATTTAAATCTGCTAATGTTTAATTGCTTTTTAATGATTGGTCTCTCCTCTCCCCGTGCGGCCTTTCCTGCCCCCCGAAATTAGCTTGGCAGGTTGGGGGAAACCCCAGAACAGCATATGGAGGAAGAGGAAGGCTCATTCAGTCGGGCAAGCTGATATGCTTGTGCAGACAGGATGTTTGTAACAGTGTGACACTGCCGGTGAATTCCACTCATACAACTTATTTAATACGCACTGATTACATGAAAACACTTTAAGTAACATGAGAAGCTGTGCAAAAGAGCAGGTTCATGTTGCAATTTCTGATTTTTATTTTTAGTGTATTTAATGGCAAGCTGAAGAATAAGAATACTCAAGTGGTGCGGCTACAGCCTGTTCCAGCAGAGGCCATGTTTATGACCTAAAGTTTAAGACCACTTCACCGCTGGGCACGCACAGCTGCATCTTTCTCACTATCTTGTCTGCAAAGCGCTTTTGTGATGAAAGACACAGTAACACATGTAAAATATTACCGCTACAATTGCAAAATGAAACTTCTATGAGGAAAAAAGGCAGACCCCGCCAAGAACAATAAAGCAATCAGTGACGAAGGAACACAATAATGGGTTCTCTCTGCTTTGCTCCGCAGACATGGATTAAATTGTTTCAGCACCAGTCACCCAATCCAACTTAACAAACAAAGGGGGGAAAGTGGGGGGGGGGGGGAGAAATGAGAAACATTTGCTTAGAAAGCTCATAACTGCCGGTGTGTTCACAACACCAGCATGTCCTGTTACACCTAATACCTTTGTCAAGGTGGCCTCGTCTGGAACTACTCACTCACAATCTCTGCAGACGTTCATTGCAGAATTCCCCCCCCCCCACAGGCCCGCAATGTATTTGACAGCCCTAGATCTCTGCTTGGGGTCTCTATTTGAGACAATCCAGATCCACCCAATCTCTCCCACCCCCAAATATCACTCATCACGGCTTAAGCTTGTCTGGTTTGCACTAGCTGTGACCTGGATGTTGCACACGCTACAAAGCAATAAGGGAACAATACCAGAAAGAGGACTGTTTGTACAATGCCGGCTTTTCATAAAGATGTGCTTAACCTTCTTCCAACAAAATTATTGTTATAATATTTTTTCCGCACAATGGTTCCACAAATCAGCCTTAAATTATAGTGTATAAAGGGCACGCATGGTCTTATTTCCTAGTACTAAACATCCCCTTTGAACTAAGGCTTTAAGAGCCT